GTTTCATGATGACGAAGCCCATGACCGTTCTAGTAGACCAAACACCTAAAAATTGTGAGAAGCGATCAGAGAACAGAGCCATAACCATAATGCTTCTAGAATCAGATTAGCCTCAAGAGCTAGTCTTGAAAATCTTGGAATTGAGAGTTAAGGTTAAATCATTTAGATGTGTTAAGAAACTAGCTAACCTCCACGGCACTAAGAAAGGACTAAGAAAGCTTATCATGCCTATATAGTTGTTGACAGTATCACTAGAGCCTGTTTCCTATTTCCTTTGATACATCATTGGTGGTGTATAGTAACCTAGATTGAACCTAATAGTACTCTTACTGAGCTGTAGGTATTTAGGAACTTGTACCTCTGCTCTCTTCCAATGACCTGTCTTCCTCTTTTTCACACCGTGATCCTTGGCTTTTGAAATAAGAGGTCGGATCGATCGGGGTCATGCGTTTTGGATACAGAAATTGGGCTTTTCTCTTATTAGTCAAGTTGCTCGAGGCCAGAAAATTGGAATACATTGGTTAGATAGGATAATGCATCGAGCTTACCAATTAGGTATCCCTATCGTGTGTTGAAATAGGTCAAGGGCCTCCTAAACATGGTTGCAACTCTATAGATTCATCCTCAATGGAGATAAGGGACTACATAGGTAGACTCAATACTTAGCCGACACACGAATCCTTTACGTATATTCTTGAGAAAGGGTCATCAGTTAACTTGACACAGATGATATTTAGAGTCATGATGGCGTAATTCCCTCTTTATGAGATGATTATGATAACGTCACACCTCAAAAATCCAAGATACCAATGAAGGAACAGAAAAGGTGAATAAGTACCAAATTTTTAATGGGTTTGTGATGAGCATGAGAACCACTCAAAACTTCGAAAACTCTGATAGTTGTAAAATCTAAGTTCGAACTTCCTATAACCAAGAGAAAAGTTTGGGATAACTTACTAGGTTAGATGAGTCAAAAACCTTAAAGCATTTTAAATTCACCAAATACAACTTTTCTTTTTTATATGGAGTTAAAAGAGGAGGAGCGTCATCCTCCAGTATCAATCCTATGTGTTAGAGGTTGTAGTTTTTTTTATTTTTTCAACAATTTTATTTTATATGGTAAACTTAGTATTATTTGTTTTTCAATTGCTTGTAAAGTGATTTCAAATTAGGGTTTTTATCTTCATTTGATCAACAAAGTAATCCGAACCTTATTTTCTTTCACGGTGATTTCTTATCATCTTGACATTCTTGAGTATATTTAGATTTAAAAAATAAAGTTGATTTTAGAGTTAAACATTTAACTAGGATTTTGTATATTACGAAGGTTCTAAGGTTCAACATACTAGGATTACCATGAGATCTCAAATGAAATCAAACACTTAAGTTACCTTCCAAGGCTGATACTCTCGCCAAGAAGAACGGCAGAAGAAATAGTTGTAATGACCAGAATAATTGGCGTTGACATGGCTAAAAAAACTGGTCCTTTCTTCTTAATGACCCATGTTTGAAGAGAATATGTAACCCCAGTTGCCACTATTCCCTGCATATTATTGATTTGGTAAGTATGTATATAAAAATGGTGAAAAAAATGGAAAAAGTTGTCAAAATCAATCCCAGAGGGGTATTTTAGTCATTTATGTTCTCCATTAGAGGTATCAAGTGCCAAATTCAAATTTCAAATCATTATCAGAATCCTATGCATGCATGATACATTACAAATGGTATTAAAGCAGTATCTCTCCTAGTAAGATGTAAATAAAGGACGAATCAAGGGAGAAGCTAGTGGCCATTTGACGCCCTAATAAAGGATGGACGTGAACAAATTGATACCACATCCAAATGAAAGTAATTTTAAGGATAGGATCCTTGAGAAAGACTAAAAAGAATTGAAGTTACTATCTATACCAAAAAGGTGCATTTTCTTTTTGAGTGATTCGATGATAAGAACTCCAAAATTAAGCATGTTTAGCTTTGAGCAATTTTAGGTTGGGCAACTTCTCGAAAATTTTCCTAGGAAGCATGTAAGTGAAGATAAACAAATGTGAAACCACCCGTTTTGGTATGTGGAGATAAACTTCCCTCTTGAAAGTGATAATTAGGTAATGTTGTGTATGTGAGGATAGACTTTACTCTAAAAAGTGACCATCAAATGACACAATCATGTTGCATGAGATATAGGAGAATGTCAGAGTCAACCAACAAAATGACTTACACAATATGCGACCGAAAGAAGTCTAAGATTCCAAGACAATTTCCATTCGTCAAGGTTTCTCTCCAAAGCAATGGCAATAACGAACGATTGAAACGAGCTAACAAGGCATTGAAGACTAGTGAATAGAAGTGTCGAAGGATAACATTTCAGTACAAATGCCTGCGTTAAATCAAAGAACTCGTTATAAATTTTTACGATCCTTCATAAAAAGACATTAAAAATAATTATGAAGTAAGTACCTGAAGAACAAGTGATAAAGCCCACAAGGTATTTGAAGCCATCATTAGGAAGCAACCCTTAATCCAAGTTTGGGTTGAAGCAACATGAAGTGGATTTTGATGATGTTTTTGTATAGAAAAAAGGTGGTGATTGTTAAAGAATGTGAGTTGAGGGCCTTTGTAGAACACCAAAACCAACAAACCGCCCATACAAAACACTATTCCTCCCACCTTTGCTAATCCTACTATTGACTTTAGCTTCAACATCTCCACCCTACCAAACATTTTCTTTCCCTTAGAGATTAACAATGAGGAAAATATGGTAATGGAAATGCTTGAATGTAACGCTTTTAAATATCCGATAATATTTTTGGGTTGGGTTTACTGTAATAAGGTCAATTCTAAAAAGAATAATCATGTAGCAGTTGGAAAAGTGAAAAAAAAAAACAGACATAAGAATGTAGAGTGCTATTAGTACAATCAGAAAGGTCAATGTAGGGACCAAACATAGAAAGATGAGCGAGGATCTAAAAAGAGTAGCGAAACAAAAGGCTAATAATGTCCATGACTCCTTCGTTTGCATTAAATTGATATAGAGTATAGTAACTACACATATGAACTGTGTAACCCGATAAGAAATTTAAAATCTAATTTTTTTCTTTTATTGAGAGTCTTAAAGATCTAATTTAATAAAATTTAATTTCAAAATTATAAAGAGGAAAAAGTACTGGGAGAACTCTCCTAATTCAAGAAAATATAAAATAAAAAGGGTGGAAAAGAACAGTAAAAGACAATCTAGAAGGGTAGTTTGGTCATTCTTCCCTCCTCATAATCAAGCACCTAAGGAGGTTAGTAAAAGATAAGCAAAAGAAAAGAAAAAAAAGGAAAAGAGGACACGAGAAGAAAAGAAAAGAAGTAGAGAGAGAAAGAAAGTTATAAAGAGAGGGAAGTAACCGCCATATCAGTCGTGAGGAGTTTGATTCTAGTCGAGTTTCTTCATGAACCCTTCATAAAGTCTAGAGGAGAAGCATTCTGGACCTTTGAATCATCCAAAACCGTCAAGAAACGAGGAAAATCAAAAGATAAGTTCTTGAATCCTTGTTCTCGAATTTCTCTTAGATCCTTGAAGAATATTAGAAATTAGGTTCTGAAATTTGAGTATGTTAATCTAGGGAGTACTATGCCCAAAATCTATGAAGTAAGTTATAGACGATTCGACCAGAGATAGGAGTTCTAGCATTCGTCAAGATCTATGAGTGTTAAACTTTTGCCATGGGTCAGCATAAGAAAATTTAGATTCTCGACGCATGCCGCAAGACTTGGACCCATGCACTTGTTCTCAACGAACCAACTCGTTCATACCACGTGGCAACATGAGAGCGCACATCCTCCCCACTCTAGCGCGTCAGTACACATGTGTGGCTATGCACGTGGAAGACTCCTCTGGGACGTGGTGACATGTGACCCGCGCTTGAGACACATTTTGAAACTTGTTTGACTCTCGTTCGACTGCTTTTGGTCCCAATTTTGAAACTGGCCTAAATTTGACTTGATTCAGGATCTACCAACAAGTTTTCAAGAAATTTGGGGTTCTCAATTATCGGGAAAGTAAGCTTCGAAAGGCACGCTTCATCCTATAAGTAACTACCTAAATTTTAGAAAAGTGATACTTGTAAGGATCGCTAGTACAAACTAGCATGCGAGCATAATGTACCTAGGTGGTTAAAATATGTGTGATTAGAAAAACATAGAATAAACAATTTGGATAACTATGACACGTACTTGATAAAATTATGAAATTTCCCTTAGAACAAAATAATTGACAAGAATGCCTTATTTAATGTCTTCTATTGTGGTATGACGAAGGAAGTGATATTTTGATCTGTGTTTCGAGCTATTGATGGATGTTATCTCCCCATTGAGCTTGTTTGATTGTGTCTCATTTATGTTATCATTTCATGCACTAAGGGTTGGTAGGAATACCTTCTTAATAGATATCTCTGAATAGGTAGACACATTTGACGTGTTAAAGACAATTAATAAATATTTTTCCTCCTAAAGCATGCATCAAGAACTCAATTAAGATTACGACTCTATAACTAGTGCGGTTTACATGTAGAACTAGAGGTTAGACCTATGTGAACCTAGGGATTGGTTAAGCCGTAACCTAGAACTTCTTGGAATTGAGAAAATGGAATTTAAACTGCATGAATGCCCCTAAGAACCTAGTAGACCTCCACGGTGTCTTATCATGATTTAAGTAGCTTACAGAATTACGAAACTAGTTGAGTTACTATTGAGTGTACTGTCGGGTCAGGGCTGACGCTTTAATCCTCTTAAACTAGTTTTTGAGAAGAACTAGGGACTACATGGATAGTTAGCTCAAGAAATGGACCCCTATCGAGTGAAGAAATAGGCGAACTTGTAAACAAGTCTTGGTTGGACAAGAGACTACGCGAATAGGTGTTAGGATGAGTGTAGAAATGATTCAAGGCTGACGCTGTGACTTCGTAATCCGATCTTGGAAGAGATTAGAGACTACGCGGGTTGGTGGTTTAGTATGAACACTTCTATTGAGTGTAGGAATAGGTCAAGGCTGACGTCATGATGCCGTAAACTAGTCTCGATGAGGGACAGGGGATTACACAGGTAGATGATCAATGAAGAATCAATTGGAACTTCGTATAGACTAAAGGAAAACTGTAGGAACCTATTAGGAGAAAGAAGCGATAAGAGCCTACAAGTAGATTGTTTACTTAGTATATTTTTATACTTATCTCTTTTTTAAGTACTAGTCAAAGTAGAGAGGTGCTCTAGAGTTACACGGTTACTAGTCAAGGTGGAGAGGTGCTCTAGAGTTGCACTTTTAGAGGGGTGTCAGTCATTTCAAAGTGTCAAGCTTCGTTTTAAATTTTTGAGGCTTTTGTAATTTGTTTATAATTTCCCCGTTTGTAAAATTTTTGTGTGTCATCTTATGTACTCTAGTTGGTTCTTGTCTTTTTTCATTCGGAGAAACTTCAATTGTAATCTCTTGATTCTTCTATTCTTTATTCTAATCCCAACTCACATTTTAATCCACTATTATATCCCTTTTTAAGTGAAATCTTTTCATTAGGAGGGTTATATCGTTTATTTGTTTTTGATTGAGTACAATAACCAATAAAAATGTATTTTTAAGATATTTCATTAAGCTTGGAATGAAATTGAGGATTTATGAAAGCATAAGCAACACAATCAAATACTCCTATGGTTTTTCTTCCACGTCATGCTTAATAATAAGGAGTTCGATTCACGAAAGTCTTTGTTGGCGAAAGATTTAATAGATAGACAGATACTAGCTATAACTTCGACCTAAAATTAATCTGAAAGTCTCCTTACTTGTAAAATACTTCTTGTCATCTCTACAATAGTTTGATTTTTTCGTCAATGATTCTATTTTGTTCTAGAGTTTAAGGAGTTGTTAAATCCCTTTGGATGCCCTTTTCTTCATAAAATAGATTGAATTCTTTATATATGAACTCGTCACCTCTATCTACGTGAAGAACTTTAATGTTGCAACCACTTTAGTTCTACACGTAACTTTAAAATTCTGAAACTTCTCAAACGTTCCTATAGAAAGTAAACTCAACTCATGCAACTATAATCATCAACTAATAGTAAAAATAAATACTACCACCAAAGGATTTAGTTTGTATTTGTCCACATAAATCAACATGAATTAGTTCTAGACAATCTGAAGCTCTTTTAGCTTTTCGAATAGAATAGGACTTCCTAGTTTGCTTATCATAAATACATCATTCACATAAACTAATTGAATCAGTTTTTGGTAATCCGAAAACCATACATTTATCTCTGGGTGGCTTCAAGCCCCTTCATATGAAGATGCCCATATCCCAGATACCAAAAAGTCGAGTTATCTTTTGTGCTAGCAGCAAAAGCAAAATTTCTCAGGTTAGAAACAACCAATGGAAACACCTTATTTGAAATCATGACAATTTGAACTTTGTGATCTAATTTCTTATTTTAATGACACTTATGTTGTCATCGAATTAAATGGAATATCTTCCAGTCATTAATTGTCCAATAATCAATAAATTGTAGACTAAATCAAGCACAAATTGAACTCTATCTAACAGTTTTATGTTTCCGTGAATGGTTGCAACTTTCACCGTGGTTTTTTCTTCAACTTGCATCTCTCTTGTATTGTTGAGTTGTACCTTAATTCTTTGCATCTCATCAAGCTCCTAGAGTAAATATTTGGTGTTTGTCATATGGTTCGAGTCTCTGATATCAACAAACCATATATTTTCTTTGGGTAAATATCAATACAAGTCATAAAAAGTCTTTTCTTCTTCTACATTTTGTGTTGTAAAATTCATATATTGATCTTTATATGAAGTGCCTTTGTCTATTATTTCTCTCTCTACCCCTGTTACCATGACTACCATGGTTGTTGCGAAATCCTCCTCTACCACAACCTCTACTTGCTAAACAAACATTTTCTCCATGGTTGTTGGTTGTCTCCTTCACTTGAAGTGTCTTTTTTTTTCATTCCTTTCTAATGGTCTCTGAATTCTTGACTCATGAATTTGAAGCGAGCCTAACAGTTCGATAAATGAGAATAATAGATCTTTAGTTTTAGCTTCTTCTATAGTAGCCATGCTCAGACTTTGAAGTTAAACTTCTCAACACCTCTACAACAATTGTTTCCCTTTAAATTTTCTTTCCACTGAAAACGAAAGTGTACTTTGTTGGTATAGGTAATAACTATTAATTCTTCTATTTTTTTTTTTTAATTATCATATTCTTAGAATCAATCTCATTTAGATATGGTCCTGGTTCATTCATATATCCCTCGTGACCACAATAAATCTTTAATTCATCACTTTCTTTATGAAGTTGTAGCCATCATATTCTCACAATAAAAGCTTTTGAACCCAAAGAGCACATATTTGAGTGTGTGCTTCCTTTTGATTAAACCATAGGAAGAAAGGTCCATTATGGATTCCTGAAGATCTGCTCCCAAGGTAGCAACTTTGGAATTTTGACTGGTGCTCTTTTACCATTTGATTCTATCAGTATCGTCAATCCTTATTATGAAAATGATATTCATCAAATGAACACGTTTTCTAATCTCAATCCTTTTTCAGCGAGATCTAGACATAGGTTTTTAGTACGTTAGAATATTAGAGAGAAACCAAGAAGTTTGGGTTAGTGTTAAAATAAACTGCCCCATTAGCAAGGTTTGAATGAATATTGAGAGGCAAGACTATTGTCTATAAGCCTAAATAACGGAACGAGACCTATATTGTAACAATCCATGTTCAGGATTCCACACTTGATTGTCCTAATATTCTCATGTATTCACTTTAACACAGCTACGTTACTTGTTTCTCGCTTCTAAAAGTGAAGACTATCCTCACAGATTAACACAGATCTTTTAGAAAAAAATTTAGGTCATCTAACATAAAATTGCTCCAAGCAAAGCAGAATTAACTCTGGAGTTCTTATGATTGAGTCACCGAAAGAAAAGTGTACCTTGTTGGTATAGGTAATAACTTTTTTCTTAGTTATTTTATCCTCAAGATCATTCTCAATTCAAATGTGGTTTTGGTTCATTCATGTATCTCTTTTACTCAAATATCACTATATGAACATAATTAAACTCTTCACGATATTTGATGGTTGTATCTCTTGAGAAGAGATGTATTGAATCCAAATATCTATTCACAAGGATATTTTGACACAAATGTTCAACAAAGTTGAAGGTTTTATGGTGGTTGATTGACTTTGAATCTATCTTTGGGGTGTTTTAGTCCTAAAGTTCCTTATAGATCTTGAATCTTGAGGGCTTCATTTGTAATGAACTGGTATGTGCAAATTGACGATGATCTATGTTGATTCTTTATTTCTTTATCGGATCGCTCCTTGAGGGGAGCTTTCTTTGAAATCATTGTTCTTAGAAGCTTGGTCATAATGATAAACTTAAAATATCATTGTTGAAATAATCTTAACTTAATCCTAAAATGCTATAAACTCTTAAACTACTTCCCAAGTACTTAACTATTCGATTCACTTTCACCAACGAAAACCAAAGCAAACGAATAAGTGAGACACGAATACTTTATTCTATAAGTTTTGAAGTAAAGGTCTAAAAAATAAATTTATTTTTGAGGTATAAAAAGTATGGATTTGATTGGCTCTATTGTCATGTGATTGACTAGCTATTGAGAATACAATGCTTTGATACTTTAACCGATGAGAATTAGAATTTGAAGGTTGAAAGAAGGTTTTGTTACAGAGGTAAGGTTAAAAAAATCAAAGCGTTTAACATTGTATTTTATAGGTCCATGAAAAAATTTAAAAGTGTCTAACCAGTCTATAAACTTTTAATTTTGTGTCTGATATATCCCAAAAATAAACTTTTAAGAGTTTACAAATTTTTAGATACGAAATTGAACCTCTAAGTCTCATTACATATAAATTTTAATTTTATATAGCTTTTAGATCAATGGATTTTTTTAAAATTTAAACAAGAACTTATTGAAAAGCTTATTAGACATTTTTAAGACACATAAATCTATTAGACATAAAATTTAAAGTTTTAAAAGCTATAACGTCCTTAATTTGACCTAAAATTAAAACCTAATAACTTAATAGATACAAAATTACAAGTCCAGGGACCTATTAAATTATTATCAAAATATCACGAACATATTAGACATAATATTAATAAGTGAAGTATCTATTGACCTTTTTTTAAAATTGAAAAACGTATTAGACATAACTCTAAACACGTAAAAAGAAGCTCGTAGTTTAAAGATGTGTAGTTTACCTGAATAGAAGGGCGAAAAGAAACGTAATAACAGGAATAGCATTTATAGTTGCTGCAGCTAAACTGGCTGATGTATAAATAAGAGCAACTCCCTGGAGATCAAGACATACCGTTATCCTGCAAATAGTTCATTCAGGTTAAAAAATTATATTCACCAACTTTATGAAATTATGAGTTGATTATTTTAAGTGAAATTAAGGGTCTAAATGAGTTGAGAGATGTGACCAATCTTATTATTCAATCTAGGTTAGATTTTTTTCTTTTTGGATTGGGTGATTTTTTAAAAAATAGAAAACTTTAGTCATTTCTGGTTAGTGGTGAGCTGTGACGGATAAATGTTTGATATTTAACATGGTTCGAGAAGAAGGAAGATTTTTTTTTTTTTTTTTTTTTTAAANTCAAAGGCAGCTTTGGACAGCAGAAACATTCCTGCATATATGCTGTGTCTCAGTAACACTGCAAAATAAGGCTTCTTTTCCATCTTCCTCAAACTCTGTAATTTGATTGGTTCTTTGATTGGTTCATAAACATATCTTCTAAATCTTTAGTGTTTTGGTTTCCTATGGGCCAAAAATAATGATTATTATGTGGGCCACTTGTTGAAGGATAAGAAATGGGTTTACCCACCAATTATTGAGCTATAGTTTCCATTTAAAAAAGGAGCAACTTTGGTAGAAACTAAGAGGATTGTGTTTGCTTTATTTAGCTGTCCCTTTTAGAAAACAATACACAATCTGTTCATTCACACGTTTTGTTAAATTATTTATGGTGATGAGACTTTTAAGAGGCCTATTTGCATATTGTTAGAGCAACAACATAAACGTCTTATTAGTTCTAAACATCACATTATATATCTTTTTGTAACCACTACTAACTTAAAGTAGTTGAACATAAAAATATATCCGCAGGAAAATAAAGACTAGAACTATATTTGAAATAGAAAACTAGACCAGTTTTTTTGACAAGAATTAGTATATCACATACCCCAAACTCTTTATGTAGTTTCTGAAATGCTTCCAATTTGAGAGGCTTTGTCAACAAATCAGCAAGTTGATCTCGAGTACCACAAAACACTAAGTTGACAGTGCCTTCTTTTGTAAGATCTCTAAGAAAATGAAATCTCACACTTATGTGCATAGAACGACCATGTAGAACGGGATTTTTTGACAGCTTAATAGTTGAAGCATTATCACACATAAGTTTGGTTCCTTCTGTCTGTAAAGAACCGATCTCTTTTGAGTATTCTTCTCGTCCAAACAGCTTGACATGCACATGCACATGCAGCAACAAACTCTCCTTTGTGGTTGATAAAGTGACTATAGGTTGCTTTCTAGATGACCAAGTCACTGCTCCTTCACTCATCATAAACACATGCCTGAAGTGCTTTTGCGGTCTTCTATGTCGCCGGCGTAGTTACTATCACTAAAACCGATCAGCTCACTCACTCCTCCCCTTTTGTAGAATACACCATAGTTCATTGTACCTTTCAAGTACCTCAAAGCTCTTTTTGCTACTGCAAAATGTTGTTGCGTTGGACAAGCCATAAAACGACTTATTAGACTAACAACAAACATAAGATCAAGACGGATGGTAGTGTGATACATCAAGCTTCCTACTATTTGTTTGAAAAAAGTTGCATCCATTTTAATGCCATTTTCATCTTTACCAATTTTTTATTTGATGAAGTCGGATTCGATTCGGCTGAACCATGCTCTAGGTGCCTGTTTTAACTTGTAGAGTGATTTGTTGAGCTTATACACCATATGTTCACTCCCCCTTTCTTCATAGCCTCTTGGTTGTTCTACAAAGATATGATCATCCTCACAGTATCCATTCTAGCTATCGGCTCAAAAACTTCAGTTTAATCAATTTCATGCTCTTGTGTGTATTCTTTTACCACCAATTTTGCCTTGTATTTGTTAACCTCTCCAAGCTCATTTAACTTAGTTTTATAAATCCATTTTACCCCAATTTTCTTAGCACCCGCAGGAAGAGCTACTAAGTGCCAGGTCTGATTTTTTTCAATGGATTTAATCTTCTCATCCATGGCAATCCTCCACTTTGAGTTTTTGACTGCTTCCTCACACTTTATAGGATATGAATTTGTAAAAAATGTCATGTTAACATCATCTTCTTCGAACAAACCTTCACCGGAAACATGCTCAACGAGACGATAACATCCATCAATCACCCAGAGCGCAGATTTCACAAAAATCTCATTCTCCAACACATGATATTTGTACTAGCTATATAAAGAGATGTTATACGATAAACAAGATCCAACACATTCGCATACATGAGCATGTAATTGTGCATTTATTCCATATTGTACTAGCTGTATAAAGCGATGTTATACAATTAACGAGATCCTAACACATTCGCATACAGGAGCATGTAATTGTGCATTTATTCCATATTCCTAGGTATAGATCATGTTAAACTATCCTTAGAGTCAGTTTTTCTAGCATGCATGCAAATCATACAAGTATTACTTCTTAGAAGTCCGTGTGGTTACTTACAAGTCTAACACATGTCTTCCCGAGCTTTGATTTATAGCCGAAGATGAGTACAAAAATTCCAAATATTTTCTGAAGGCACCTAGTAAATATTAAAGTAAGGTTAGTATTGAAATTCGGGTAAAAATTCGACAAATGGGCATCTAATAGTTTGAAATAGGGGTCCCATAAATTACTTTTTTTTTTTTTAACAGACTCTCCCCAAATTTCTCTCAAACTTCTCACAATCTCTCCCCCCAAAGCTCTCTCCTTAGCCAACCCTTGTCACCCAAAACTTAAAAAAACTCCTTTATAGATTCTCTTTTACAGTAAATAATTTTTCTTCACATGGTAGCTATTATTAAGAGTAGGTATTCATTGTCTCTAAAAAGAGGCCTTCATAGTAAGTCAATTCTCCAAAAAAAAAAAAAAAAAAATTATGTTTTAGGTTTGTTTTGTCAAAGTGCACCTATTAAATTATGTGACCCAAACAACAAAATATTATTGACATGTTTTCTTTTTAATTAATCGTTACTACCCAATATAGAAACGACGAAAATATGGAACATAACTTGATTACAAGGAATAAGAACGACAAAAATGTCAGTCCTAGGGCAAGAAAGCAGTTATACTCTAACCTAAAATAATTCCATCAAAGTCTTCCAACAATAGAAAATAAGATCTTTACCAAACATTTATAACATTCCAAGACTCTACTCATGAAAATTTTCTAGTATTTGCATGAAGTCTAATACATGGACCATTATAAAATTTAGAGAAATAGTTTTGCAGAAGTTTAAACATGATAGTGATGTCATTGGCTTACATAGCTTGACTTGGATTTCAAAGGACAAAGATGAACTTTCATTTCATTAAGGATAAATTGGTGACATCAACCTAAGGTAATCAGGTGAGTGACTTTACTATTGACACGGTTGGAAGAATTGTCCTGTGTATGATGACAATTGTCAAATGACCTCTGCACATGTCATGTGTTTGATATGATGTGTTATGATGATATATTATGCTATGATGATATAATATATTATGATGCTATGATATGTTATGATGATGTGATATGTTACAATGCTATGATAGGTTAAGATGATGTAATATGTTACAATACTACGATATGTAGGATGATGTGATATGTTATGATGACACGAAATGTATAACAATATGATACATATGATATATCATGTTATGATGATATGTATGTATGAGATGTCATGTTGCATTATGACATGAATATGCTTGGCAATAAAATGTCTGACATACTACATGTATGACAATGAAGAATTTTCGGATGCACAACTCCTAAGTAATGTTATGATTGATGTAATGTATGAAAGCTTATGCATGCATGTTACATAGGGTAATGTGTCAGGAATGTATAAAGTTCTTTCACATAAATGGTTTAAGAAGAAAAGAACCTCATGTATACTGTATGTTCATAGGCATTGTGATACTTCTCCTTTTATGATGAGTATAGACGCATACACTATGATAATGAGATGACCATCATTCTTGACATCATGCACGACGGTCATTGTATCTTCAAGAGTCTGGCTACAGTCAACTAGCCCGACTAGTAGGCTTAGGGGGTGTGTGAGCCTGCCTTTTGGGCCCATACTCATACACGTCGGTCATATGTAGAAAAGTACTACAGATCCAATTTGTTCACACTGGAAGCCACCTAAGAAACTATGGTTTTAAATGATAGGTCCCTATTCATGATGAATGTGTTTGAATCCCCTAACCCTAATGGTGGGGCCACTTACTGATTATTTCAACATACTCAAGTCATGTGCTACTTTTATATTTCATGTAAAGGTAAGACACTTTTGTACGGTTGACAGTGGCATCACACTAAAGACCATGAAACTTGAATAGGATAGTTGCATTTATTTTCGTAAATCTTAGGTTAGTATAGGGCACTGTTATTTAAATATTTTCCTTGATTTCTATTTTAATTTATTTTGAAGACTTCATTTGTATTGTGTTAAGACCCTTTTGTAAAGGTACAAGTCTGTGGCACCGTTTTAAGAATTTGTTTTAAATGAATGATTCTGCATAAAAAAAGTTATGTGATTCATGTAATAGCGACTCTATGCCCCTAAAAAAATTAGGGTCGTTAAAAATATTCTTACCAAAGTCATCACTTTTGATTTACTCTGTTTTCGTTGTGAATCTCGGCTGGGTACCATCATAAAACTTCAAGATTTCTTTTCCTAATGCATCATGTTCAAGAATCATACCTTATTAATGCAAGACTTAATGATTTTCGAAACTATTCCGAGAGCGAGCACATGTGGAATTTTTGAAACTATTTTGCCCCGTTGACTTTGACCTTTTTTTAGTTTTTATATTTCTTTCTTGGTTCCTCGAGACCTCACGAGCACTTTTACCCTATGTGATTAAAAAGAAATTTCTTGATGTATCTCACTACCACCCGTCTTGACTTCTTAAAAAAGAGCAGGAACTTTGAACCTAAAACATTTTATGCCCAAAATTTGGAACAGAATAAGAATTTGGAATGGACACCTCATCCTTCTGGCAATCACATACTTCCTGATATTTTTAAAACGTGTATGCTAGGGAGAGGTTTCAACATCTTTATAAAAAAATGTATAAAAAAATGTTTCGTTCTCCTCTCCAACCGATGTGAGATCTCACAATCCACCTCCCTTTGTGGCCTAGCATCCTTCCTGGCACTCGTTCTCTTCTCCAATCGATGTGGGACCCCTCAATTCACCCTCCTTCGAGGCCCAACGTCCTTGTTGGGAAACCACCTCTTGTCCATTCCCTTCTGGGCTCAGCCTCCTCGCTGGCACGTTGCTCGGTGTCTGGCTCTGATACCATTTGTAACAGCCCAAGATTTCTAATCTCACAATCCACCTCCCTTTGGGGCTTAGCATCCTTCCTGACACTCGTTCTCTTCTCCAATCGATGTGAGACCCCCCAATCCACCCTCCTTCGAGGCCCAACGTCCTTGTTGGGAAACCACCTCTTGTCCATCCCCTTCTGGGCTCAGCCTCCTCGCTGGCACGTTGCTCGGTGTCCGGCTCTGATACCATTTGTAACAGCCCAAGATTTCTAACTAGAATATTATTTGTTCGGTGTTCACTAGGGAGAGGTTTCTACACTATTATAAATAATGTTTCGTTCTCCTCCCCAACGGATTTGGGATCTTACATAAATTTTTTTAGTTCACCCCACATTCGATTGATCCAAGCAAATACACTTAAGTTTAGAGTTTCTATGTTTCAGTTTCCGAAAAAGAAGTGCACATTATTGGTATAAAAAATAATTTTTAATTGTTTAAATCTTTCTTAATCATCTTATTCTTAAAATAGCTTTCCTTAGAATATAATCTCCATTTATTTCTTAAAATAGCTTTCCTTAGAATATAATCTCCATTTATTTCTTAAAATAGCTTTCCTTAGAATATAATCTCCATTTATTTATATATTTCTCTTTTAAAAGGTCTAAAACGAAAGAAAATAAAGAAAGAAAGAGAGTAAAACAAATTAAATAAGATGGTAACTATTGTTATTGCTAGGCAAATATTAAAAAAATACCTTCCACTACAAAGATTACCTAATATTTAAAACCAACTATTATGTTGTCTTTTGCAAACTTTAATTGTCATCGGTATCTTTTAGCTTCTTTTCATTTACATATCAGCCTTTTGCTAATTGCTACTTTATTTTATATGCTTTTTATCTTTTAAGTTTGTGCCTAAAACATCATTCAATTTAAAATCTTGGGAACTTTAAAAATATCTAAATTTTGTTTTAGAAATAGTTTGATATAAAATTGAATTTCATTTTTAGTAGAATTATATGATTTAAATTTTATGTCTAA